TTGTATTAGATTTTATAAGTAATTTTGATATGATTTAAAGTATATAGGGGGATGTGCATAAGTTATATCCAAATTCTTTTTTTTTGGAGAGATTCTTGCTATAGGGCGCGTGCGCTCACCAGAAAGACAGAGAGAAACAGAGAGACAGAAAGTGAGAAATCACCCCCCAGGGGGGATGGCCATGCTGCAATCCCTTCTCCTCCATTCTCCTCTCGGGATCTTGGGCACACACGCACATGCACCTGGTGTGAGTTTAAGCCACGAGGTCCAGGACTTGAACTGCGGTCAATTACTTGGGAGTCCAGTGACATAGCCACTATGCCAACTACTGATCCCAAGTTATATCCAAATTCGACACTACTTTATATAAATGACTGAAATATCTGTGACTTTTGGTATCTATAGGGGATACTGGACCCAACCCCCCACAGATACTGGTACTCACAGTAGTGTAGTTCATAAAGGTGTTTCCACGGGTGTGCAGGCTAACAATTCTGAAACCACTATACATGTATACTGGCAATGAACAACTGAGTAGAGATGGCAGGTGGTAGGAACCAGGTTCCTTACTTTTAGAGTGGAAGGTTAAAAACAATCAGGGCAGGCCCGCAGGAGGCATGGTGGTTAAGGTAATGGACATGGCCGACCACGGTTCGAGTCCCGGACCCAGTGGCTTGCTTTCTCACTTTCCCTTTCTCTCTGTCTCTCTCTGGTCAAAATAAAGAATAATGATAATAAAAAAATAATAACCAGGGCAAGGGGTAGTAGGTCAGATTGAGGGAGGCTGGCTGGTATGATCCAGATAATAATGAATGAGATTTGCAAGACGTTAGAATGAACTCATGTTTAGCTTACGCACGCACACGGGGGTTACTGTTCACTCACATATTTACTCGCTTCGCCAGCTGTGGAGGACCTAGACGCAACGGCACCCCAGTAGTGACAAACACACCTAGTGCCTAGATCTTGATTTCTAACACCATTTCCCAGTGAAAGGAACCAGCGCTCCTTGGATTATAGGTGCTGCCCATCTTGTGCCAGAATATGAGGCAGTGCTCAGTGAAACGGAATCACGGGAGTACCTCCAAGACACGGTAGCCCAAGAGCTTCCGATGGTTCCTGTAAGTACAATTTTTTGTTTGTTTGCTTTTAGGTTTTTGCCATATGGTGCAAGCACTCACTGGAGAGAGACAGAGGGAAAGTGAAAATTCGCCCCCTCGGGGGACGGCCACGCTGCAATCCCTTCTCTTCCATTCTCTTCTCGGAATTTGAGGCACATGTGTACACGTGCCTGGCATGACTTTGAAGCCACCAAGTCCAGGACTCATACTGTGGAGTCGGCCGTGTGGGAGTCTAGCGCCTTCACTCCATACCATCTGCTGGCTCCTGTGAGAACAATTTGAGTAACAAAATGAATAAAGCTGTACTGGATTATAACCCAAAGTATAAAAGGAGTATCCACGGGTCCATATTGATGGGAATAAAGGACTGAACACCTAAGTAAACAGAGACGAGACAAACGTCTATGCGGAATTTGAAATAGCTTACGTACCATAGCTACTCTGCCTGTAAGGATGTGGAGCAGACCTCCCCACTCCTTACATGGAGGCTGCAAACAGTGACTTCCTGCACAGTAAGGAAGAGAGGGGAACAAATTCAGTTTACAGTGGAGAAACGTGACCTAGCCTGCCTCAGCCAGGTGATCGAGATGAACATCGGCAGGGATCCTTCATGTCGACAGCATGTTCCCCAGGTATGAGGCAACGAGAAAGGTGCCTTCCCTCTGTGGCTGGTCTTCCTCCCCCAAACCCATAACCCAGTGTCATCATGAGAAAAACTGCAGACAAATCCCAACTGAGGGACATTCTAGGAAACACCGGGGGGGCACAGAGGTGAACGCGGTCGGATCCCACATGGGCGACTGAACAGTTTGAGTGCCAGACCTGGAAAGCTGAAAAACATGCCGGGTGCATGTGTGTGCGTGCCCCAAACTCCCAGAGGAGAAGGGGAAAAAACGGCCTGTGGAGTAGCCAGCCCCACAGAGGGGTGAGTTCTCACTTTCCTTCTTTACTGCTCCCTGTCTTTTTTTGGTGAGCTCACACGGTCTATCGCCAAAACTTAAAAACAAAACAACAACAACAAAAAACCTGGCCAGCGTTCCTCAAATCGTCAAGGTCATTACAAAGGAAAAAAGGCGGAGGAGAATCTGTTTCAGCTGAGAGGAGCCTAAGACGACACCCAGAGGTCAGTTCGGACCCTAGGCGTATTTGCAGGTCCTGGGACAGATGTTCTGTCGAGGCGAGTGGGTGCACACAGACGGAGGCTAGGCACAGCTCAGGGAAGCATCTCCAAGGGGCGGCTATGGCTCCATTGATTTTCCCGAGCCTCTGTGACCAGTAGGCAGTAGTTCTTGGTAGGATAGTGCCCTGAGGATAAAACACTCCAGCTGGGGTTGCAACCAAGCTTAGCAAATGAGGCTTTGAAAACAGACTTGAATTGATATCCTACTCCACCATTCAACTCCGGGAAGATTACTCCACCTCTCTGGCGCCTTTTGTCAGCATCCCTAACATAGGAATTATAATTGTAACCATCAGTATCATATAATTTGTGAGGAACAGCTAGGATAAAGTGTGTAGATTGGCTGGCCTAGTACCTGGTGCTCAGTTCTCAATAATGTTGACCACGGACTGTCACATTCTGTGTGATTCATTTAGTAGACACATTTTTATTTTTAGTAGACACATTTTTAAAAAAGAATTATTTATTTAATTTTATTTATTCATTCCCTTTATTTTAATTTGATTAAAGAGAGACAGACAGAGAGAGAGAAAGTGAGAAATCAAGCCACCAGGTTTGGGACTCGAATTGTGGTTGGCCATGTCGGAGTGTCTAGCGCCTTAACCACCACACCACCTGCTGGTCCCTCATTTAGTATATACATTTTTTTTCTGACAGAATTTAATATAAGAAAGTTGTTAATTGGGCCAGCTAGTGGTGTGGTAGTTAAAGCAGCTGGATCCTTCATGACCAACGGACCAGTTCAAGTCTCGGACCTGGCAGATTCAAAAACAGGTCAGGTGTGTGTGAGGTTGGAGGAGAATGAATTACAGTATGTCCACCCCCCAGGAGGGCGATTACTCATTTTCCCTCTCCCTTTCTGTGTGTCTCCTGCAAGGGCACATTCCCTACAGCAAACTGAAATGAAAGGAAGAAAGAAAGGAAGGGAGGGAGAGAGGAAGGAAGGGAGGGAGGGAAAAGAAAGAAAACAAAAGAAAAATAAAGTTGTTTGCCAGGTGTTGGAAAGACAAAAGGGGGCACTGAGCTACCAGCCCAGTCACTATTTTGGGTAGCAGTTATCATACTATTCTGGAGAATCCAAAAGAAGAAGTTGAACCTAAAGAAAAAGTAGCTTTTCTGATCATTTACATAACATAAAATTCACCGGTTTCAAGTGTATAATTCCACTACTTTAATAAATGTATACAATTGTCCATTGTCATCACTATTCACTTTTAGAACATTTCTATCACCTCCCCCCCAAGGCAGTTTGCATCAACATCCCCCCCCCCAACACCCACATACCTAGCCCCAGCTAACTCTGCTTTCTGTCTCCATAAATGTGACCAGTATAGGGACCAGTGGATGGCAATGGTTATGACACTGGACTCCCACGTGGACAGGGGTTAGACCAGCGGCTTAGAACTTACCCTGGGCTCCTGTGCCTGCGTGCCCAAGATCCACGAGGAGAATGGAAGAGACGGGTTTGTAGCGTGGCCATCCCCCCTGGGGGGTGATTTCTCTCTTTCTGTCTCTTTGTCTCTCTGTTGGCGAGCAGACACGTCTTATAGCAAAAAATCTATGGGACCAGCAGTTAGCGAGCGTAATGGCTATGTAGCTAAACTCCCATGTAGTCCACTGCAGTTCGAGTCCCGGACCCAGTGACTTAAACTCGCGCTGGGCACGTGTGCGTGCGTACCCAAGATCCCGAGAGGAGAATGGAGGAGAAGGGATTGCGGGGTGGCCATCCCCCCGGGGAGTGATTTCTCGCTTTCTGTCTGTCTGTCTCTGTCTTTCTGGCGAGCCCACGCGCCCTATAGCAAAAAGTTCTCAAAGAAAAAACTCTCTAAGAAAAAACTTGGCCAGTATAACTTTTTTAAAAAAAGAATGGCTTTATTTAACTTTAATTAATTAATTAATTAATTTTAATTTGACCAGAGAAGCTCAGAGAGAGAAAGTGAGAAATCAAGCTGCCAGGTCCAGGGCTCCAACCACACTGGCCATGTGGGAGTCCAGCGTCCTTAGCCACCATGCCACCTGTGCCCCGCCCCCACTATAACTTAAAAAAAAATTAGGTAATGAAAGGAGACCGTACAAAATAGATACTATTTGGGAACAAAATAAACAGACTTAAACATTACCACAAGTTTAAAACGTGCTGTAGTTTTAAATAACGTGGCTATAATCGTCATAATATGTTGTTTTAAATAACGGCGCTACTGTCATAATATGAGTACAGGGCAACATTTTTTTTTTTAGGGCAACATTTTTTAAGAGTTACTTTTTATTTAATTTTATTCATTGTCATTATTTATTTATTTATTTTTTGAAATTGACCAGAGAGGGACAAAGAGAAGGAAAGTGAGAAAGCAAACTGCCAGGTTTGGGACTTGAACCGTCGTCAGCCATAGTGAGAACCTAGCGTCCTTCACCACCACGCCATCTGCCGGCCCCATAGAGCAACTTTTTTTAAAAAAGAGGAAAGATGAGGAGAGGTTCCACTTTGGAGCGTCAGTGCCTAGGGTTTGGTTCTGAAGAGGGCGAAGGGAGGAGTGGCAGGTGAGGGAGAGCGCCTCGGGCCACGCCCGACTGGCCTGGGGCTCAGCCCTCCCCCCGCTCCCCCAGCACCGCCCACACCGCCGGGCCCCGCCTGCATCGCCCCGCCCAGCTGTCCTTTTGCGCAGGCGCAGTGCTCCGGCTTCGCAGCTGGAGGCGGGGCCTGGCACGCAGCCCAGGAGTCTGTACGCATCGATCGCGAGCGCGGTGCGATTGCTTCTGTCTGTTGTTTAGGTATGGCGCCCGCGAGGAGGCGGAGAGGCGGCTGGGACCCCGAGGGGGGACTTACTGGGTGCTGACCGCTGCCCAGGGCCGAGTGGGCTATGGGGGAGCCCAGCTTCTTGGTCACGGGAGACCACGTCGGCGGCCGGAGCTGCTGCTTGCGCAGGGGGGGGATGAACGCCGACTGGCTGGGGCCGGGGGGTGCTGGGGCCAAGGGCCTGGCCGGAGGGACCCGGCACCGAAGGTGGCCCGGTGGAGGGGCCTGGGCCTGAGGGCGGGCTGCGGCGGGAGCCGGGGCGCGGGGAGCAGTGAGAGGCCGGGGACGGCGGGGGCACCCTGGTCGCTGTGACCCAGAGGGTTGCGAACGGCCTCGGCCCGCAGAGGGTGTGAACTTTCTCCCGAGTGTTTGGAAAAGGGTTGCGACTTCTGGGCCATGGTTCTTAACATACTGAAACGTTAACGTAAAAATGTCCCTCCTTTACGTACCTGAGGACCGTTGGCGCCTTGGGTTGGGCCACCGGTGTCCTGTGAGTCTCGATCTCAAGTGGCACTTTATTAGGGGGGTCGGGGTTAGGGATTCGGAGTTGTCTCCCAAGCTGCTTACATGTCTGTTAACGCAGTCATAACTTAAAAATTACTTTTTAGCTATACTTTTTTTATAACAAAGATTTTTTTAGGAAGTTTCTTTTTAAGAGGTTTTTGCCTTAGGGCACGGGAGCTCACTGGAGAGAGAGAGAGAGAGACATAGAGACCTAGAGAGCAAGTGAGAAATCAATCACCCCCCAGGGAAGATGGTCGCAGAGTAGTCCCTTTTCCATTCTCCTCCTACAAAATTGGGTACCCACGCACTCTAGCCCGAGCCTGGGCCCTGTGTGAGTTTCAAGCCACCAAGTGTGGAACTCAAACCATGGTTGGCCATGTGGGAGTCCATGTAACCTCTCCAGCATCTGCTGGCCCCATTTAGAGAGATTTTTGTTACGGGGAGAGTGTGCTGGCCAAAGAGACAGACGAAATCACCCCCCAGGGGCGATGGTCAGGCACTATCCCTTCTCCATTTTGTCACTGGGATTTTGGGCACACATGTACGTTGCCCACCTTGAGTTTCAAGCCTCCAGGTCCAGGACTTGAACCATGGGAAGTGTATGTGGGAGTCCAATGCCTTAAGCACTATGCCACCTGCTGGTCCCAACCTAAAAAAATTAAGGCAAGGCCCACTTGCAGATGCTAGAATTGGGGTGGTGCTTCAGGAGATGATGAGGGAAGCGCAGAGGGATTGCAGGCAGTTTGGGAAGGAGCACTGGGTCAGGAACAAGCTTCTAGTTACTAGGAACCATTTGGGTTTTCAAAATAATTTGTTTGAAAGATTCCTTTTGCAGCAAAGCTGCATGGTTCATCATTATATTGTCAGTTAATTCATTTGTTGATCCTGTACGGCATATTGTCTCAATTCTGTCTTCCTGGTATTTATTGAGTCCTCACATTGTTTGGTGTAATGTGAGACAAATAATGTCTGCACTCAAAGCTTTTATGGCTTGAGTGGGAAAAGAGAACCTAGACAGTCAAGCAGTCGGAGAACATCCACGTGGGCTATATTACGATCAAGCGCCATATGTGGATTTTTATATTAGGCCGTAGGGCTGAGTAGTCAGAACGGGGATTCAGGGGACCAGGAGATGGCATAATGGTTATGTCATTGGACTCCCATGTACTCCTCTGCTGTTCGAGTCCCAGACCCTGTGGCTTGAAAGTCATTCCAGGCGTGTGTGCCTACGAGAGGAGAATGGAAGAGAAGGGATTGTTCTGTGGCCATACCCCCTTTCTCTCTCTGGCAAGCACATGCATCCTGTAGCAAAAAATCTCTCCCTCAAAAGAACAGGGATTCAGGTCCAGTCTTTGGTGTTTCTTCTTTGCCCTCAAAGGTCTTTGCTGTCCAGGTATTGCTGCCTAACAGTCCACCTTAGGCATTCATTCTTTTAGTTTGAGCACTAACCTTTTTTTCCCTGTATGGCCCTTTCCAAAAGTATATATCATTGAGAAGTTTAACAAATTAAGACACTAATACCTGAACACTAACCCGATTAATATAGTTACGCAGGGAAATAAATGATAACTAACTGATTTCATATACATTACTTAATCTGATTCCTGCACTTGCATTGCGCATATACACAACCCTCTAAGGTAATTGAGTAGTCCGATACTACCTCATTTTTTCAGTTGCTATGAATTAATTTATTATTCTTCTGAATAGCTTGGCAGGCCTAGAGTCTTGGATGGGTGGGATGGTGAGATAGAATTCAGGGACCCGTAGCAAGGGCAGGAGGACTGTAAAACCCTCCTAGACGTATTATGAACTGTTGGATAGTTTTGTGGGGAGCTTCTGGGGAGAGAGCCACACAAATGAGTACCTGGTAAAAACATCATGGGAAGATTGTGGCTTGCCTTGGGGGCCTGCGTGGAGGAGAGTCCTGCAGGCATGGCTTTCTGCATGGTCAGGTCTTAGATGGTATTCGGAGCGTAACCTGCAATGTGTATATAAAGAAAGGTGTGAAGACAAAGCCAAGAGATGAAGTTGTTCTTCCTGTAATGATCCCCAAACCATAGCACCGTCTGTGGTTTAACATAGAATACTTCTTTTTTTTAGAGAGATTTTTGCTATAGGGTATGTGCTCTTGCCAGAGAGACAGAAAGAGCAATAGAGAGACAGACAGAACCCCCCCACCCCCGCCAGGGGATGGCCATGCAGCAGTCCCTTCTCTTCCTGAAATGTTGGGCATGCATGCACATGCGTTCATCATGAGTTTCAAGCTGCTGGGTCTAGGACTTGAACTGTGGTTGACAATTACGCCATCCACTGGTCTCTGGTTTACACAGAATTTTAAGAACATTTTTAAAAAAGAATTATTTTATTTAACTTTATTATCATTATCGTTGTTGTTATTTTCCCATTTAATCAGAGAGAGATGCAGGGGCTGGGAGGGGGGAGTGAGAAAGCAAGCTACCAGGTCCAGGACTTGAACCATGGTCAGCCATGTGGGAGTCCAGCTCCTTTAACCACCGTGCCACCTGCCGGCCCCTTAAGAGCATTTTTATATGCTAATATAATTTAATTATAACAATAAGTAAGGTCAGTTTCTGTCTTTCCAGTCTTCTCAACAGCTCAGATGTTAAATAAAATGGGGTCCTCTTATTTCATTGAAGTGAATACTGTAGTAGCTTGTGTCTAAATAAGTGTCTTTAGACAGAGAATTCCAGAGAATTTGGTAGAAAAACAGTAAGGAGAGATGTACTGCAAATAAGCTACTTCCTAGGCCATAGGCTTTTGGGGAAAACCATGGTAAGTTCTTTTCTCTCCTTTTCTTCTCTCATATTTGTTTTTTATGACACTTTCTGCCCTGAAGGGGTTGGAAAAAGAAGAGGATGGTGCTAGAGTATTTAGGGGTCACCTGGGAAACAGCAGGACTCATGGGGGGGAGGAATAGCATTAGGGAAGGTGGGCAAGAAAAAGATGGTCTTCTGGATCGGTAATGCCAGTGAGCTCCAGGGCTGGCAAAACTGTTTAAGGTGGAAACAGCCCCCAACATACGGGCTGGCAGTTCATCAGCACCCAGTTCTCATGGGGAATTTAGTTTTATGTTATGAGTAATGATGAGATTTCCAGATAAGCCATTACACATCTTACCTGTAATAGGTGAAATATCTGTAGTACTCGGGTAAATTTTAGGAGCAGATAGTAAAAGCAAGAATGAAAAAGAATCCTTTTTCTGGATTCAGAGTCTGTAGGGGACAGATTTGGAAAAGACGCTTTTTTACCTTTTTTGTCCTGTTTTCCCCAGGCTACCCACAGTGACAATCTGGCTGTCTCCTCTCAAGTATGAAAATGGGATATGGGATACTTTCTTAGAAATAAAGCTGTCTAAATGAAAATTCTTGCTATAATGTAGAAAACAGATAAATCCTTAAACATCCTATTTTTAAATGATATATGTATTAATTCAGAGGAATTTCTTTAAGTAATGTAGTTTCTAGCACACAATAAGAACTGAAGCATGTCACAGTTGTGGTGGACGTAGTCATGACATTTTGAAAGGAGTGCTAATCAGATTGTAAGAGCTCCTAGCTGCAACTCCATGTTTCCAGTGGTAATAATAAAGTCTTTAAATTCTGACCCAAAACATTCCTTCTTTCTTTCTTTTTTTTTTTTTTTGAGAGGTTTTTGCTGTAGGGCATGTGTGCTCACCAGAAAGACAGACAGAAAGCAAGAAATCACCCCCCAGGGGGGATGGCCACGCCACAATCCCTTCTCCTCCATCCTCCTCTCGGGATCTTGGGCACGCATGCACATACGCCCAGCATGAGTTTAAGCCACCGGGTCTGGGACTCGAACTGTGGTCAGCTACATGGGAGTCCAGTGACAGCCATTATGCCAACTGCTGGTGCCCCCACTTTCAAATTTAAGAATATTTACTGAACTCCATGCCAGGTACAGAAATGCAGTGATATATAAGACAGATGAGATGACGTTTCTGCTCTGGTAAGAGGGTAAAGGAAAAAGGTAAAACAGACAAGAGAATGTTTATTGTGATAAGTGCACACTAATGACATGAAATGTAATGGGAGAAGCAGGCAGCAGCTTAACAAGGGCAGTCAGTGTACCCCTCTGGGAAGCCGAAACTTCAAAGAAGAGGAGACCTGCAAATAGCGGAGGAAAGTGTTCTATGCCAAAAGGGCAGTGAAAAAGACCCTCAGGTACTCTGGAACTTGATGGAGGGTTAAGGAACAAAAAGGCTTGAGTGGCTAAGACAGCTAATGCTGGTGCCATGCTATAAGACTAAAAAGGTCGATGGGAGCAACCTGTGGCATGGTAGTTAGGGGAGTGGAAGCCACATGGCCAAGTCCAGGACCCAGCTGCTTAAGAAACATGCCTGGCTTGTGTATGAGTGCCTCAAATCCTGAAAGGAGGTAGAGTGAGCAGAAGTGATTGCACCGTGACCATTCCCCGTGGAGGGTGCTTTCTCACCTTCTCTCCCTCTTGTTCTCTCTCTCTCTCTTTCTCCCCCTCCCCCCCCAGTGAGCTCACATGCCCTTTGACAAATTTTAAAAAAATAATAATAAAGATAGAGGGCTTAGGACATTAAGTCCTTATAGGCCATGGGAAGAAGGATGGATCATTGGAGGGTTTCTTTGTTTATTTTATCACTGGAGGGTTTAAGAAGGGAAGTTGTCTCATTGCTACTCCAGTTTCTATGTGAAGAAGGAAGTTGAGGAGACCTAGAGCAAGAACAGAAGCAGCAGGAAGTCTGGTGGTTTGGACTAGGTCATAGTCAGAGAGACGTGAGCAGGTTTATGACTTACTTTGAATTACGGCCAGTAGGAATGGCTGACCGAATGTGGGAATGAAGGCAGGTGAATCAAAGGTGGCTTTTGGATTTTAGGCCGAGCAGTTGGTTGGATGGCAGCGTTAATCACTGAGATGAAAGTATGAGGAGGAGTAGATTAGGTCAAAGAGAGTCGTCGTAGTCTTTTATCTTTTTTCCTAAAGAGTTATTTTATTGGGAACCAGCAGTTAGCGTAATGGCTATGTCGCTGGACTCCCACGTAGTCAACCGTGGTTCACGTCCTGGACCCGGTGGCTTACAACTCACGCCCGGCGCATGTGCGTGCCCAAGATCCCGAAAGGAGAATGGAAGAGAAGGGGTTGCAGCATGACCATCCCCACTGGGGGGTGATTTCTCGCTTTCTGTCTGTCTGTCTCTGTCTGGCGAGCGTACGCGCCCTATAGAAAAAAACCTCGCCAAAATAAAAAAGAGTTATTTTATTTAACTTTATTTATTAACTCATTTATTTTAATTTGACCAGAGAGGCACAGAGCGAGAGAGAGAGACGGTAAATGAGAAAGAAGGAAAGTGAGAAAGCAAGTCACCAGGTCCGGGACTAGAGCCACTTTGGCCCATGTGGGGGTCCAGAGCCCTTAACCACCATGCCACCTGCTAGCCTTTAGAGTCATCATAGTCTTTGAGGGACTGAGGAGGATAGGCATGATTCTGAAAGAGTCTCAAAAAGAGCAAAAGGGCACTCTCCTGGAAAACCACAGATTTTGGTTTAATATCCCCAGCTAAGGTTGCACATGTGGGTCATTACAGAGGTGGCTGTGGGGCTGGCCGCAGTAATCAGGTGCTACGACTGGGAGCCAGATCCCACAGGGCCGACCGCAGGAGGGTGCCAGTCCAGCAGCCTGACTTGGAAAAGGCATCAGGTGTGCACGTGCATGCCCAGAGCTCTGATAGGATAGAGAAGTGTGGGAAAGGGCCGAGCAGTGGCCACCTCGCATTGTGTGGGGGCGTGTTCTCTCATTTGCTCTCTAGTGCATGTGCCTTCTGTCAAGTTAAAAAAAAATTTAAGAGTAGCTTGTACACAGAAAAGAGTAAGCTGGAAATTCTAAGACCTGGATCTCAGAAGAATTTCTTTCCTGCCTTCAGAGGGTTATTTTATTTATTTATTTATTTTTTTTTTTTTGAGAGGTTTTCGCTATAGGGCGCGTGTGCTCGCCAGACAGTGCTACGACTGGGAGCCAGATCCCACAGGGCCGACCGCAGGAGGGTGCCAGTCCAGCAGCCTGACTTGGAAAAGGCATCAGGTGTGCACGTGCATGCCCAGAGCTCTGATAGGATAGAGAAGTGTGGGAAAGGGCCGAGCAGTGGCCACCTCGCATTGTGTGGGGGCGTGTTCTCTCATTTGCTCTCTAGTGCATGTGCCTTCTGTCAAGTTAAAAAAAAATTTAAGAGTAGCTTGTACACAGAAAAGAGTAAGCTGGAAATTCTAAGACCTGGATCTCAGAAGAATTTCTTTCCTGCCTTCAGAGGGTTATTTTATTTATTTATTTATTTTTTTTTTTTTGAGAGGTTTTCGATATAGGGCACGTGCGCTCGCCAGCCAGACAGAAGAGAGACAGAGAGACAGAAAGCGAGAAATCACCTCCCAGAGGCGATGGCCACGCCACAATCCCTTCTCCTCCATTCTCCTCTCGGGATCTTGGGCACACACACACACGCGCCCGGCGTGAGTTTTAAGCCACCGGATCCGGGACGCAGACTGCAGTTGACTACATGGGAGTCCAGTGACATAGCCATTACGCTAACTGCTGCTCTCCCAGAAGGTTATTTTGAACTGGACTTATGGTAGATGTGAACCAGAGCTTCTGTTCACTCTTTTCCATAGGCTCTCATGCAATGCTTGTGGGTCAGATGGAGAAATGGACCAAGTGCAGACTTATGTTTAAATTACAGCTTTTCGAAGGTGTACTCATATGGTGTAGGTTTCCTGAGAACTTTGCCTTTGATTATGTGCCATTTCATTTTTCCCTTTGTATTTCAAATGTACAAAAAGCATCGTATCAATTTGGTGGATGATACAAAGCTGAAAGGAATTATCGAGTGTGTCTGATCTGATGGAAGATTAAAAATTCAAGCTTGTGTGGCAGGCTGAATTAACAAACTGAAATTTAACATTAATTTGTGTTAAATCCTGTACTTGAATCCAAATTCTTCTAAACTAGTCAAGTATAGAAGAGAAGAGATATGACTTAGGGCAATACTTGGGAAAGAGAATTGGAAGACCAAGAAATGACTCATTCGTGAGTCTGAGGAGGTACAGGCAAAGCGCTGGATCTGCTGTGAATGCTAATGGAATGTATATGCCATGGCGATGATAACTAGAACTGGGAAAGTGACGCTTGCATTTGACTAACAGACATTAAATTTGTTTTTCTTAGTATGGCATCTAAGAATAAAGATAAATTAGGAGTCCTTTCACAGATCCATGAGAATGACCCATGTCCTGGGAGATGGGTGGAAATAGCTGGAAACATAGAGCCAGGATAAAAGAAGATTCAGGAGACATTTTATAGCTGTGATGAAGCAGGGGGGTTGGAGATGACCAGAGGTGCCCGGGGCAGAGCCAATGGATGGCATTGACGTGGAGAACAGTGCCAAGTCCGAGAGTTCAGTGGTCAAAGGGCCTGCCTTGTATTTCTTCGCAGTGTTTAGATGAGTGGATAGGGATGTATAGAAAGACATTCCTCCATCTCAAAGGTGATTGAACCAGATGACCTTTCAGGGTCCTGCCAGCCCTGAGATTTATGGTTAACTTTCTCTTCTTTTCCGTGTCTTGCCTTTTTCTGTTCGGTAGCTCCCATGGAGACAGTGAAGAGGAGACAGCAGGTGGACTGTTTGGTTCCACAGGAATCTGTCCAGTTTCACATCAGGACCTGTGTTCACTGCTGGTTGACACGATTGTAAAGGATGTCCCTTTTCATCACAGTGACTGACGGTGTCTCTTACATTGTTATTATCTTCCCAGGTGACTATAGGACGAGGACTTGGTGTCACATACCAACTGGTATCCAAAATCTGCCCTCTGATGATTTCTCGAAGCCACTGTGTTTTGAAGCAGAATCCTGAGGGCCAGTGGACAATCATGGACAACAAGGTACAGAAATTCACAGAAGCCCAATGTCTTTTATTGAATTTCTGTTTCTTTTTAAATTACTTCTTTTGTCATGTTGGTAATTCATGGTATAAAATGCTAAAGTTTATTTTCTCCATTAGCCACCCGATTCTTTTTCCCATAGGCAATGACTCCTGTGTGCTGCCGGAGATTAGATTATGCCAGAGTAATTTCTAGTGATTCTGGTTGAAGTTTGTTACCTCCAGGGGAATGCCTGAATTGGGGCATAGATTCCGTTCCAGAAACTAGGCGAAATTCCTAGGGGAAGTAGCCCATTTGCAGTGAAGGTCCGGAGCTTCTGGAGTAGACTCAAGACTCAGAGGACAAGGGGGAGAGGGAGAAAGTAAGCTGACTGCGCCTGATCCTTCCTCTCCTCACTTTTTGCTCAGGAACCCCCTGAACCACCTTCTTTTTAAAACGTATTTTATGCTTTGGTGTTCTGAGGAAGATTTCCTCTGATTAGAGAATTTTTCTTCTATAAACGAATTCGGAAAACACTTGTCTAGTGGTGAGTGCACTAAGGGAGGTGAAATGGTATATAGAGCCCAGCAATTAGGAAGTACCCGAAGTGTAAGTACACGGCACCCAGGAATACAATACAGACTAAGGCGAGGGAGACTCTGTGGAAACAGTTAAGGTTTAAAAGTCTGAGATGTCTTTAGGTGTCGTTTCGCACTGCTTCAGTGCTCTGGTTGGAAGGATTTTAATAGTACTTGTGAGAAGAGAGGGTAAAACCGCTAGATTTAAGCTGTTGGAGGAAACATTTATATTCCTTTTTTTTTTTAAGTTGAATTGACTCTGTACTGAAGGCAGTAGTATAAATTCTAAATGAGTTGGTTCAAGGTACTGTGTTCAGGTGGAAATTGGCACTGGTGGGCCAGCAGGTGGTATGGTGGTTAAGGCCCTGGTCTCACTCATGCTCAAGTGCAGTTCAGATCCTGGCAGCTTGCTTTCTCTCTCTCTCCTTCTTGCTGGTGAACATGCATGCCCTGTAGCAATTTTTAAAAAATTATTTATTTAGTTTTATTTATTTATTCATTTATTTTCATTTAACCAGTGACTGAGACAGAGAAAGAAGGAAAGTGGGAAAGCAAGCCCCCAGGCCCAGGACTTGAACCGTGGTCGGCCATGTGGGCGTGTCCAGCACCTTAACCACCATGCCACCTACTGGTTCCAATGCCCTATAGCAAAATTTAAAAAATAATAATGGTAAATAAAATGAAATAGATAATTCCCAAAAAGGGAATTGGCACTGGCACTGGTTTAACCCTTGTGTAGACACAAAAGATTCTGAGGTTTAGGGATCAGCAGATGGTGTAATGGCTATGTCACCGGACTCCCATGTAGTCAACCACAGTTCAGGTCCCGGACCCGGTGGCTTAAACTCACGCCAGGTGCGTGTGCGTGTGTGCCCAGGATCCCAAGAGGAGAATGGAGGAGAAGGGATTATGGTGTGGCCATCCTCCCTGGGGGGGGACTTCTCGTTTTCTCTCTCTCTATCTCTTTCTGGCGAGTGCACACACCCTATAGCAAAAACTTCTCCAGAAAAAAAGAAGATCCTGAGGTTCAGAGAAAGAGATAAACTGTCTTGCTCAAGACTTCCTCTGTAACTGGTGACAAGTGAAATAAGTCCCTCTACCATGCCCATTGTCAAATACCAGTAAAGGCCATAAGAAGTTTGCTATACCATCTTATCTTTAGTAAAATTATACATATATAAAGTATAGCTACAAGGTTAAAATTCTGTGATTAAAGCACTTTAGGGGGGCCAGCAGGTGGCGTAGTGGTTAAGGGCGCTGGACTCCCATATGGCTGACCATGGTTCGAATCCCGGACCTGGTGACTTGCTTTCTCACTTTCCCTCTCTCTCTCTCTCTGCTCTTCACTGGTTGAATTAAACTAAATAAATAAAGTTAAATAAAATAATTCTAAAAAAATTTTTAAAAAAAGCACTTTAGGAAGAGCTGTTTTCCACATCAGTGATTGCAATCTGAGAAACCGAATTACCATATTCTAGAGGTGAGCTGTCTGCTGCTGCTTTCCTTGAGTATGCACAGTATAGGTGTGAACCATTTATGGGGTTAGAATTTGATAGGCTGGAAATCTACCAGCTGACCTATTCTAATATTCCTTGAATGGTAACCACAAGGATACAGAAGCCCCCGGTGCCGACTGCAGTGTGTGGCCTCACTCTGGTGCTCCTGTGCAGCCTCCCCTCCAGGGCCAGTGTTACCATGTGATTCTTTTCTCAGGTCTCAGTCAGGTAAGGGAGGAAAGGGAGGTTCCCGACTCTTACAAGTCTTTCCTGTGTAATTGGTTTAAACCTCTTAGCTTGGATTTAGTTCGTGTAGTAACTGACTTTTGGCTTTACTAGGGTTTTTTTCTTTTTTCTTTTCTCATGGTAGAATGTGTATTATACATGAGAGAAAGAAGCACCCTTCACAGGGTCTGGTTGTGCCACAGTTTCTGTTCTCAGGCCTCCAGGTCATCAGGTCCTGGGCACTGGGGGCACAGGCTGACCAGGCCAGGGATTTGAACCCGAATTAAGTGCTGTGCATGATGTTTGCCATGGGGGTCTGGCTTCTCCTGAGCAGCGCATCGCCACTGTGCCACAGACCTGGTCTTTGCCAGGGTATTTTGATGGGATAGTTCTTTTTAAAAAGCGAAACAAAACAATTATTTATTTATTTATTTTATTCATTCATTTAAAAAAAAAAAAAACATTTTATTTATTTATTTTTAGTTTGACCAGAGAGAGACAGAGGGTAACAGTGAGAAAGAGAGGAAATGAGAAAGTAAGCTACCAGACTCAAGACTTGAACCCTGGTCGGCCATGTGGGAGTGTCCAGTACCTTAACCACCACACCACCTGTTGGTCCCGATGGGATAGTTCTTAGGAGTGAGCCTGCCTTCCCTCTTGTCTTCTGGCTTAATAGTCATTCCCTTCCTGGCTTCCTACTGGCATGATGGCCATGGCAGCCTTCTGTTGATGAGGGGTGTGAGTTTCGATTGCAGGGTATTACTGTTAGGGTTGAATTTGAAATTAGTTGTGAGTCTCTTTCAAGAGGTAAGTGTTTCTCATAATTGCAAATTCAGAGGTATGTTCTCTCATCATGAAATCTTCTCTCTCATCTGCTGAAATGGCCAGAAGGTGAGAATTTAACTGTAGATATAAAAATCTCAGCAAATGCAGTTTTAGTTTAAAATTGGCCTAAAAGCAAGAAAAAACCTTAGAGGACAGCTAACTGCACACCGAATATGAGGATGATTCTTTCTTTGTAGGTTTTAGTTCATCGAGAAGCTTATCTGATGATTGATCCTTTGTGTTGGTATCCAGCTTTTCTAGAAAATCGGTTGTTTCTAAGTCAGACTCTGAAAAGCCTTAGCGGCTCGGCTATGTCTTATTGGAGCCTTTCCCATTTCCCCTACCCCCACCCGTTGCTGTTGGCCTGCTCCCTGGTGATTCCTTATCCTCAGCAGGCGCTGACAGTTGGTGTTGCTGGTGCAATGCACTCTGTGTGGACAAACCTTGCTGCTCGGGACAGGCAGTTCAGCTTCTGGTCTGCTAGCAACCAGAGTAGTGATTATCAACCTGTTTCCACTTTTGCCCTTGCTTTGGATACTTTTTAAAAACATAGATTGTAGGACCATCTAGTGACTTGGAGGTTAAGACACTAGATCCCACAAGGCCAGCTGCACAGTTTGTGATTCAAGTCCCAGATCTAGCAGCTTGAAAATCACACTGGAGGTGTGTGCATGCACACCCAAAATCCTGAGAGGAGACTGGAGAAGGGATTGCAGTGTGGCCATTGCCCCCTGGGGAGTGATTTTTCACTTTCCCTCTCTCTCCCTAGCAAGCACACATACCCTACAGGAAAAAAAAAAAAAAACAAAAAAAAAAAACTAAAAAATATAGATTGTACAGGCAGCCCAAAAGTACAGTGGTTAAGTACCATGTGTAGAAATCTCGATCCCCCATAGCCTACTGTTTTTTGAATTCCAGCTCTAGCAGCTTGAAAAACACTGGACGTGTCTACCCAAAACCCTGATGAGAAGGAGAAATGGAGGGAAAAGGATTGCCGTATGACCTCACTCCATTGAGGGGTACTTTCTGTCTCTCCTTCTCGCTGGTGACTGCACATGCCCTCTGGCAAAAAGAAAAAAAAAAGTAGCACAATAAATTAAGAATTTCCTTTCATCAAAAGACACCATTAAGAAAGTGAGAGATGGGACCAGCAGTTAGTGTAATGGCTATGTCACTGGTCTCCCATGTAGTCGACCGTGGTTCGAGTCCTGGACCCAGTGGCTTAAACTCATGCCGGGTGC